AACCAGGAATGGGGTTTCATCTGCACACTCTCATTTCCCCACCCATTTGCTTTGGTTATACTCCGTTGCAGCACCACAAATAGCCTGACACACTCCTCACTATGTACGCACTTCCTGCATCTGTAGGTCTAGGATCCTTCTTCCCCCAGACACTTCTCCTTAGTCATTGTTCCTATAGGGACAGCATAAGCAGCCTGGGGCTTTTTTAGCTTGGAAAAGAGATGATTAAGGGGGGAGATGAAAGAGGTTTATAAAACCTTGAATGATGTGGGGAAAGTAAATAAGGAAGTGTTATTGACTCCTTCCCATAATACAAGCACTAGAGTTAACCAAATGAAATTAATAGGCAGCAGGTTTAAAACAAACAAAATGAAGAATTTCTTCACACAACCTGTGGAACTCCTTGCAAGAGTACATTGTGAAGGCTAAGACTATAACAGGGTTCAAAAGAGAATTAGATAAGTTTATGGCTATTAGCCAGGATGGGCAGGTTTGCCAGAATTTGGGAATGAGCAACAAAAAGGGGATAGATTGTGTACGTGCATGGCAGGGACAAGGTCTCCCTCTCTAAAAGCACAATGGCTGTGTCTAGACTGGCCAGTTTTTCCAGAAAATCAGCCGCTTTTCTGGAAAAGCTTGCCAGCTGTCTACACTGGCCACTTGAATTTCCACAAAAGCACTGACTTCCTGACTGAAAAGTCTGAAATCAGTGCTTTTCGCGGAAATACTATGTGCTCCCGTTCGGGCAAAAGTCCCTTTTGCACAAAACTTTTGCACAACAGGGCCAGTGTAGATAGCTGAGATTTGTTTTGCGCAAAAAAGCCCCGATCGTGAAAATGGTGATCGGGGCTTTTTTGCGCAAAAGCGTGTCTAGATTGGCCACGGACGCTTTTCCGCAAAAAGTGCTTTTGCGGAAAAGCGTCCGTGCCAATCTAGACGCTCTTTTCCGAAAATGCTTTTAACAGAAAACTTTTCCATTAAAAGCATTAAAATCATACCAGTGGAGACGTAGCCAAGGAGAAAGGATGGTCCAGTGGTTAGAATGCCAGCCTGAAACTGAGAAGAACTCATAGGCTCTAATTCCCTCCCAGCCCCAGACTTTCTGTGAGACCTTGAACTAATCACTTCGGCCATGTCTACACTACAGGTAAGATTGAAGCAGCTGCAGTCGATCTTTCAGGGCTCGAATTAGCGGGTCTAGTGAAGACACGCTAATTTGAACTGAGAGGGCACTCCCATCAGTGCTAGTAGTCCTGCTTCTAGCAGGAGTAATGGAAGTTGAAGGGAGAGTGTAACCCCGTTCCTCATCTGTACAATCAGGATGATGGCACTGTCCTGTCTCGAAGCACTGTTGTGAGGATAAATGCACTAAACCGCATGCTGAAGTGTTAGGTGGCTAAGCAGCACTTGCTGGATTTAACATCTTTAATGATTAGAGCTGGTCAAAAAGTAAACAAAATTCACAAGTTTCAATGTGTTCAGAAAGAACTAATTTCAAAAAGTTTCACTGTCCTTTTAACCACTTTTTCTGGGTTGGTTTTTTTTTTCCTTTTTTCCTCCCCTGTTTTTTTTCCCATTTATATCTGAAAAAAAAAGTAGAAAAAGAAAAAATGAATGAAAAGGAAACAAAGGAACAACAAAGCCTTTTGGTTTTGATTTTTAAAAACCCTTCAAAAATTCAAATACATTACAAAGCTTTCATTTTTAATAAGCCATTTTTTGAGAAACAAACAAAAATATTGCTCAGCTCTAATAAACAGTAATCATGATAGCATACTTGGTTTGTTCTTTTAAACTCACCATGAAGGTTCCCTAATCTGGTCCACAAGTCCCTGCTCATTTTCCAGCTGCTCGGTGCTCACCCAAAGCCTCAGATTCAGCCACACATACTGAATGTTCATTGTCTTGTTTCTGTCATCACGAAAACCACACACACACACACACACACACACACACACACACACACACACACAGAGTCATTCGCCCTTGATTTGTTCATCTATAAAATGAACTTCTGTGTAAAGTGTTTCAAAATGTACTTGGGAGCATCTCATCATCGTTCACTGATGTATCCCTCCAGCTGCCATAACAAACGCCTTTCCCTGCCTTTTGTTTAGTGCCAAACCTTGCTGTGTGGTGTCTTATTTATAGGGTAAGCTCCTGGGGCGAGCAGGGCTCTGTTGTCGTTGAACTGACTGGTAAGCACAATGGGTACTTATAGCACTGTCATTACCATTATTATTATTCCCTGACATGCTTTACAAGTAAATACTCTTTTAATAAGGCAGATTTGGAAATATTTTATCCTTTGTGGCTGTAATAATCTAAGAAAGGGAGACTAAGCAGATTGCTACCTCTGTGGTACTTATAATCCAGCCCAATGACCCTAAAACTAGGCCCATTTTGGAGGGCCTACAAGCATTTTTCAGGAGCTAATCAAGTTTCCGACAAGGAAGTTAACTAGTGGTTAGAGCACCGGACTAGGTGCCAACACACCCCAGTCCTACTCCCAACTTTGCTGCTGACTTTCTGTACAGCCTTGGGCTTGTCATACTTCTCTTTACCCATATTCAAGCTGGCCTAAAGCCAGCATCTCTGACCCTATGGAGATCACCCAGGTCCAAGAGGATTGTTCTTGCAGCACTGTGATGGAACAAAGTTTTTATTCATAGATTCCCCAGAAGGGATTGTGTTGTGCCTCTCACTTGACCTCAGTGGTGCTCAGTTCCTGATGCTCAGGACCTCACCAGCTCAATCTCTTACATTTCTTCATGCTGCGACTAGAGCAGTTTATACATCTGTAAATCACAGAAATGTTTCTGATTCTGAAATACCTGCAATGGCTCCTCTACTAGCCTGCTTATTAAAATGCCCCAGCCCATAAAAACAACATGAGTCATCATCCCCGAGCAAGGAAACCTGTAGAATAATCCTCCGTTTGGTGTGTGGTCTGATCTTCTGTTTCGTCATGCAGACAGTACAGAGACTGGGGGTCATACAGGTCATCAGAATGCTAATAAGAAATCTGATTGATGAGCCGGTGCCAGAAGAATGAATGGGATACTTAATTAATGACTTCTGCTCCGTTTAAGAGAAAGTTTCCCTTAACTCCCATTCCTCTTTTTCTTAAAAAAAAAAAACCTTCAAAACCCCCCTATAATCCTAAGTTTTCCAAACAACATAAAGAGACCTTCAAAGACAGACATGGTCGCATTTTTATGTGTTGCGTTGGTTCAGTGATTCTTTCCTTTCTTTGTTTACACGGGCAGTCAGGCTTGATTCCAAGGCTGAAAAATAAAAGGGTGCATTGTTTAATGAGATTCTGAATTTTTACAAGAAATTTCCTCTTCCCCAGTAGGGCATTTAACTGCTTCATTTCTGGGTTTGCTAATACAGAACCATACCATTAGCCTCTGTGTGACACTATTCTCAAAGCACTGTTTTGCCTCAGCAACAAAACAAGCTATGCAGACACTATTGTCACTGAAGTGCTGGTAATCTGCTCTGGATAGTTTTTGGCTTTGAAATACAAGTCTGTTAGGGGAAATATCTGCTAAGAGAGGGCTTAGGAGTGCCTAAAGGGGAGGATGTATTTTGAACAATTGACTACTTGGATAGAGCAGGATTCTAGTCCCAGGTCTGCCATTAGTCTGCCTGGTGATATAGGGCAAGTCACTTCTCCCTTTAAAACCTTGAGAACACAGCAGTAGTGCTAGTACAAGGTAGATTTCTAACTCAGCTTGCTGCATACTCACTGTTCACCTAGAAAAACCCTGAGCAGTTAAAAGGGAATGATGCCAATTAAGGTCACTATGTGTGTGGGTTTTTTAAATTTTGTTCTTTCATTGTAATGATCTATTTATACGTGTGACATCACCTGCGTGTTTGTCCTACTAGAGACTTCAAATGTAACTACAAATCATTTCTTAAAGCAAAACAAAACAAAAACAATGGGGAACTGGCAATGTAGAAAAGTTGTAAATTGGGGTGCATGGGAAAATGTGAAAATTCCAAAAGAAGAAATGTCAAAACAGAGTAAAAATTCAACCGCTTTCAAACCTGGCTGCTTAAATTAGGTACCAACATCTACTATGGGCATGAAAAGTAATACAGATATAGCTGCCACAGGGCCTAGGAACCTCCATACAAAAAAGCCTAATTTACAAAGGTGTTGAACACTTATAACTTCCCTTGATCCCAGTGAGAGCTCAGCATCTTTGAAAAACTGAGCCATGTATTTAATTCCCTAATTATGGATTTAGGAGCCTAATTTTAAGCATCCAAGTCTGCTCTTGTCCAGGATTCTGCTCTTCCAGTTGTTTTTTAACTGGAGAAGCTTTCACACATTCAAAACAGTAAATCCAATCAGAAACAACCTCCTTTTCAGAACTTGGTTCTTCGCATGGTGACAAGAGCTGTCTTTTTGGCCAGGAAGTTCTTTTGATTCCACTAAGGAGGTAAATTCTGTAAAGAAGTTAGGCAATGGAGCCCATAATATCAAATGCAAATAGGTCTTCTTTGGAATTATGTTCTCATTCAAGAATTCTTTTAAAAAATTCCAAACTGGCACAAAATGCCCTGCACAGGCATTTAAAGGGTTAATAAACAAACAACCTTAAACAAATGCATTGACCATAGAGAGAGAGAAAAAAGTTTGGAGAGGGAGAACATTTCAGAACCTTGAGGGAGCTCACTTCAAACACATCGGTTAAAGGAAATGGAGAGAAAAGGGAGAAGTGAGAAAAGATCAGCCAGTTGCCGCTGGGCAACCAATAAAAAACCCAAACCACATTTACCACCCTCAGCTGATTTGCATTTGTATTGGACACTTGGGGAATACTGATAAAACACTCTTTATTTTTCAGTGGAATTCAGGAAATATCATCCACAACATCTGTGCATAAACACAAAAGAGAGAATAAAAGTATTTCAGTGATCCTGGGCTTAGGCAGTGACAGTGATAATGTCAGAATAATGCAGCTCTCTCCCTTTCTCTCCAGATCTCACAGGGAAGAAAAACAACATAGATAAAAGTACAGTTGCTGTCCGTTGTTTCTGGAGAGAAAGGCAGCCAGGGCATTTGGAGTATGTTTTGGGTGACACCAGTTCCAAGTTCCAAGCTGTGAGTCAGAGGAGGGATTCACTGAGTATCTAATCCTGTGCTTCTCCGAGCCCCTGGTGCCTGGGTAAGTAGCTGTCCGATCTGTGCTCTGCCAGTCTGCCTGCTGCGCATGTTAAAAATGCACTCTCCACTGGCAGCATTCAGTAACACCCACAACCTTGTGATTATGCCATGAGAAGCTCAGTGAGTCACCACAGCCCAGGCCAAGTAGTAATGAGGCAAAGGAGCCTTTATAGTGTCCCGAAGCTCCAAGTGAATGTATGGAAATTAAAACAGAAGGAAAGGTGGTGTGAGCAGAGAGCAGTCTCTGAAATCCTGTCTCTGTTCCTCCCTAAATACTCAGGCACTGGGCTCTGCCACAGCCTCCGGGTGCAGGATCAAACTAAGATGGAGGAGGGGGACGGCGGAATTGTGCAACATAGGGCTGGTTTCTGGGGAAACTTGGCACAGGAAGAAACTGTTGGCCAAAAATTTAAAAGAGGCCAGTAACAAGTTGAGAACTTTCATCCACCACAGCACAATGGAGGGTCAAGCTGCTGTGTTTAAACACCCCTCCACCTGATGCAATCATGTCCTTCAGTGCTCTTAGGTGAGGCTCTCAGATCACTGGCACTGAGCATCACTCCTGCCATGTGCCAGTCCCCTCTGGGGCAGCAATCTCTTTGGTATTCTCCAGCTCACATCTCCCAAATATTCATTCTCCAGGTACCAGCCCTGTGCTTCAGTCACAATAGCAGCCTTCAACAAGCCCCTACCACAAGCCTAGCCCACAAAAGATAGTGGCCAATCACATCCTAGAGTCATTCAAAGGGCTTCCTGGCATGGCCCAAAAGAAAAGTAGTGAAGAATCCCCATGTGGTAGCCAAGAACACTGGAAAACAAGAGCAGCCCTGCGCAATTTGCTTCCTGAGCAGCAAGAAGGTATAACTTTCCTGGCAGTGTTGGAGACTTTCAGACCATGCTCAATCGAGCCCTATCCAGCTAAGTACTTAAGTGAATGAGTCACGCTGTGGCCAATAGGCCTATTCACATCCTTGCTGGATTGAGTGCGCAACGAGAGCAGAAATGCTTCTGCACCAAAATGATCCACCTTCTGATTTCTACTTATCATAGAATCATAGAATAATAGGACTGGAAGGGACCTCGAGAGGTCATCGAGTCCAGCCCCCCGCCCTCAAGGCAGGATCAAGCTCTGTCTACACCATCCCTGACAGATGTCTATCTAACCTGTTCTTAAATATCTCCAGAGAGGGAGATTCCACCACCTCCCTTGGCAATTTATTCCAATATTTGACCACCCTGACAGTTAGGAATTTTTTCCTAATGTCCAATCTAAACCTCCCCTGCTGCACTTTAAGCCCATTACTCCATGTCCTGTCCTCAGAAACCAAGAGGAACAAATTTTCGCCTTCCTCCTTGTGACACCCTTTTAGATATTTGAAAACCACTATCATGTCCCCCCTTAATCTTCTTTTTTCCAAACTAAACAAGCCCAGTTCATGAAGCCTGGCTTCATAGGTCATGCTCTCTAGACCTTTAATCATTCTTGTCACTCTTCTCTGTACCCTTTCCAATTTCTCCACATCTTTCTTGAAATGTGGCGCCCAGAACTGGACACAGTACTCCAGCTGAGGCCTAACTAGTGCAGAATAGAGCGGCAGAATGACTTCACGAGTTTTGCTTACAACACACCTGTTAATACAACCTAGAATCATATTTGCTTTTTTGGCAACAGCATCACACTGTTGACTCATATTCAACTTGTGGTCCACTATGACCCCTAGATCCCTTTCCGCCATGCTCCTTCCTAGACAGTCGCTTCCCATCTTGTATGTATGGAACTGATTGTTCCTTCCTAAGTGGAGCACTCTGCATTTCTCCTTATTAAACCTCATCCTGTTTACCTCCGACCATTTCTCTAACTTGCTAAGGTCATTTTGAATTATGTCCCTATCCTCCAAAGAAGTTGCAACCCCACCCAGTTTGGTATCATCTGCAAACTTAATAAGAGTACTCTCTATCCCAATATCTACATCATTGATGAAGATATTGAACAGTACGGGTCCCAAAACAGACCCTTGAGGAACTCCACTTGTTATCCCTTTCCAGCAGGATTTAGAACCGTTAACAACAACTCTCTGACTACGGTTATCCAGCCAATTATGCACCCACCTTATCGTGGCCCTATCTAAGTTATATTTGCCTAGTTTATCAATAAGAATATCATGCGAGACCGTATCAAATGCCTTACTAAAGTCTAGGTATATGACATCCACCGCTTCTCCCTTATCCACAAGGCTCGTTATCTTATCAAAGAAAGCTATCAGATGGCTTGAAGTGACCTGAATTTTATCTCCAAGGGTGTGTCTAGACTACAGGGGTTTGTCGACAAAAGAGGACTTTTGTCGACAAAACTATACCTGTGTCTACACTACCGCTGAGTTCTGTCGACATAATGTCGACAGAACTCGGCAGTTTTGTCGACGGCGGTAAACCTCATTCTACAAGGAATAACGCCTTTTGTCAACAGAACTTTGTCGTCAGAAGGAGTTATTGCATCTACACTGTCCTTTGCGTCTACACTCTCATGTCGACAAAGCAGCTTGCTTTGTCAGCAGAACTGGATGTAGTCTAGACACTCTTTGTCGACAGAAGCTTTGTCAACAGTATCTGTCAACAAAGCCTCTGTCAACAAAAGCCTGTAGTCTAGACATACCCTAGTTCCCATCACCATTGCGAGGGCACATTGTCCCTGACATGTGAAAAATCCAGCCAAAGAGAGACCCAGTGTGTGAGGAAATCTCTTTTACTAGACTCACTTCTGTGGGCAAGAGAGCCAAGCCTTTGAACTACACACAACCGTGTCTCTCTCACCAACCAAAGTGAGTCCAATAAAGGGTATTATCTCACTCACCTTGCCTCTCTATTATCCCGGGACAAACACAGCTACTACAATAACATGGTCTGGAATCCAGCCAAAACAGCACTGATAATGTGGATGGCTATTTTTTTCCCAACTACATCCTCTAGATCAGGGACATCAAGGATCAGTCCATCTGTTCTTGAGCCCAACTCTTACTACAGCAACTTGCCATGATTAACTAGCTGGCAAATATTATGAGGACAACCTGGCATAAAAATAATAGGACTTAGCAAGCCCAGGTACCCTCACTATGTACCACGCATATATCAAATACCCAGAGAAGAGAAAGAAAATCTAAATGTATTGGTTGCTAGCACTGCATGCCACACTACTACCCAGTGTCTTAGGCCAGGTCTACACTAGACCTGGACCTGGAAGGTTGGGTTAAGGTACTTTGATGGATAGGAGAAGTACTGGTCAGCACTCAGTGACTAACGGGTTAAACTTGGGTAGCTTAGAGTGTTGGCGGGGAGCCAGAAGAACTAATGGGACACAGTGCTGAAACTTAAATTATAACTATATAGCTGCTGCCTGCTCTCTTTGTGGGAGTTCTAAGTTAGCAGCTGGAGGAAGCAAGATGAAATAATCAAACAGAATTATTATACCTACAAGAAATATTGGGCATGGGAATGGATTGGGCCTTGAAGTATAGATTAGTATGGATCAAGAGGAGAGGGAAAATGTATATTTGGTTGTGATCAGGCTCATTTTTCTTTATTTTGCTGTTTGGTTAAACTTCTCTGTGTGAAATCCATGTGCTTTCCTCCTCTATTCACCATATTTAAGCTACAGCCCAAAGAGACTGTGATTCTTTGTGGTTTTGATCTGTCCTTTATTTAGTTACTCTGTAACATCTAGCAACCAAGTATGCTTTATCAAGTATAGTTTTTTGTTTTGATAATAAAAATCACATTTTTTTAAGGCAATGATTTGATTCGTGTGTCCTGGAAGGTAACAGGAGGTCTGTGGGTGTGCTTTCCTAGCCTGAGAGGTCAGCTGTCAGAGACACAGTTTGTTTTGGGGGAGGAGGTTTTTTTTTCTTTTTTCAAGCTCTCTTGTGGAAAAAAAGCTCCAGGTACCCCTTGGGAAGAATTTCAAGTGTTTCTTAGTTTTCAGGGTTTTATTTAATTCACCTGATAGTGGCAGCCTGTCTCTCAGGGGCAGTATATTTATGACTCTTGAGAGTATTTGTAAGCAGGGCCTATAGAGGCAAGGTATTTTTAAGGTCTCTTGCAGGCCCCCACCTTCTGCACTTGGAGTACCAGAGTGGGGAACAGCCCTGACTGATACACAACTTCAGCAATATAAAATACATAACTGGTGTTGGCTTATCTTAAGATGAGCTTGGCACTGTCTTCACTGAGAGAGGCCAATGGGAGCAAATGCTTACTCCTCATGACTGAGGAGTACAGGCACTGACTGGAGCCATTCTCAGCATTCAATTTAGCAGGTCTTAACTAGACCCACTAAATCGAATGCCAGAAGATCAATCTCTGGTGTGGCAAATGAAAATGTGGCCTCAGGCGAGTCAGCTTCCATCTGCTGCATAATTTTACCGAAACAGATTCCCAATTTCATAGACTTATAAGGTCAGAAAGGACCAATTACATCATCTAATCTGACCTCCTGTTTTTCCCAGGCCATAGAATATTACATAGTTGCCTCACTCTTGAGCCCAGTAAGTTGTATTTAACTAAAACCTGTCTTCCGGTAAGTATCCAGTCTTGACTTGAAGACAGCAAGAAATGGAGAATCCACCACTTTCCTTGGTAGTTTGTTCCAGTGGTTAATCACCGTCTCTGTTAAAAAATGTGTGCCTTGTTCCTAATTGGAATTTGTCTGGCTTCTGCTTTCAGCCATCAGTTCTTGCTGTGCCTGTCTCCACTAGATTAAAGAGCCTTCTAGTAGCTTGGATTTTCTCCCCGTGAAGTTACTTGTACACTGTAATCAAGTCACCTCTCGACTGTCAAAATCTAATTAGAGAGAAAAGTTACCCACTAAAATATCAATACGGGGTCCTCTGGGAAGCACTGCTTGTGATAGCCTAAGGCTAGCTTGATCTCCTGAAAAGCATCACTAGACTGGCATTAAACAACATAATAGAGCTTAAGTAACACAAAAGTCAAATATGGTAGAAAGCT